TGGCCATTTAATTGGAAAATTAAATTTTACGCTGCTGCAGCGACGAACAATGCGGGCGCAGAGTTTCTCACCTCCGAGTGATTTTCACCCCGCCCGGAGTTTTTCATTTGCAGGTAACTTCTAGAGCGAAATGCATTTAAAACATTTTGCCCTCCTGCTGCATTCCGGGGATTCCTCGGGCCACTCCAGATGTCATGTCAAGTGTCCCCAGTTTCCAGTTCTCCCGCTCTCCCGATTCTCCCCGCATTTCCTTTCCTGCTTATGCAATTTTCCAAAATGACTCGGAATTCATTTGACAAATTGTCTGTCTAGCGGAGAGTGGCCGAGTGGAGGAGTGGAGAAGTGGAGGAGTGGAGGAGTGGGGGAGTGGCCAGGGGGGCAGCTGCATTATTTCACTCCTCGGAGGGCTGTCGGAATTCGTTTTGCGCCCTGTCATTGGTCGGGCAAGTGGCAAAATTAAATTTAACAAGACGAGCGCCGGGCTGCCACATTGTTTAAAGTGCTTAACAAGCGGCAGGATCGCAGGACACCTTCCAAGGGCCTCCATCCTTCAGCTCTCATCCTTCATCCTTCAGTCGCTTCAGTCGGTTCAGTCGGTTGAGTCGGTTGAGTTGACCCTTCGCCGGAGGAGCTGCAGCCAGCGAAGGAGAGGTGGCATGAAAAATGAAATGAAAACCAGCAAGTAACCGCAATCATTGCTCGACTCGCCGCTCGTTAGCAGCTCCCGGGAAAGTGGTGGGAAAATCGCTGGTCAAGGGGATGGAGGAAGGGGGAGGGGGAGGGGATGGGGGAGCGGAGTCAGTGGTCTAACCAAACCAAGCCAAAAGAAAAGCGTCCGAAGCACTTTCTCGCACACAGACTCTACTCGATTTTGCATACCCTTGCAGGAGCTATTATAAATATAATCCCAGCATCAGCTTATAGATTCTCGATCAGCACCGCCGTTCGAGTAGATATAGCCATGCCATTGTGCTTGTGTGATTCTGTCAAGTTCGTGAGCTTTGATTAAAAACCATTGATGAGCACAACCCAAAAAGTCTGTTTATAAGTGTGAGCCATTTAAGTGTGGAAATCACATAGATCGACCGGCTATATCAAGGAACTGCCATTCAAAAAAACTAGAACAACTGTCTAAAGTATCTAAAACAATATTTAATCATCATTGATTTTTTAAATAGTGCTTTGTAAATTTTGAAGAGCTATAAAAACCATCGGAAAACCTATAGAATATGAATAGAATAAACCTTATAAACTTTCTTACTTATAAAGTAATTCAATAATATTTTAATACCCCTTAGTAATAAAAAAGGTCATTCAATAGAAGGTAAAGATAAAGATAACTTAAGAAGCTACATCCTTGTATTGAATTTCTTGTCTAAACTTCAATAGATAAGAATACATTTTTAGTTTATCCAATGCTCCAAGTGAAAATGAATTTTTTTGAATGTTTGGTGAATCAACATGAATGATATTATTGATTCATTTGTGTAGTAGTATTACTTAATTATGTTTATGTAATTAAGTAGCCTGAGGAGCAGAACCCTCGGGTCCAGGTTCCTTACACTTGGGACCTCTGGAAGCATCGACCCGATAAAGCTCCTTAACCTTATCGAAGGAGCCGGGTTGATGGGTGAGCTCTAAGCTCAGATAGGGGGTACAATAGATCCAGTTGGGTCGAGGTAACCTTTTCCCCCCTAATAATAATAATAATAATACTTAATTATGTTTGTTTGGACTTAAAATGGTTTCTAAATGTATCTCTAGATAATGAGGCACCCATGTAAAATTGAGTCGTTAGTTTTTTTAAGGCTCGGTGATGGTGAGCAAGTATCTTCTTTTCCTGCTGGGTATTAAATCCTTCTGTAGAGCCGGGAAAGCGTGTGGCCTGCAGCTAAGCCATGTCTTTCCACAGCACTCTCCTTTGTTTTCCCCCTCTCCCTTTCCCACTTTCCCTCCCCCCTCCCCTGCCACCGCTCTCCATCCATCGGTTTCCTTTGCCATTGTCCCCGCCTTTGTCTCTGCCTGCGGGCGCTGAACTCATTTGGCTTTGGTGTCGGCCTGCTTAGCAGGAGAATGGCTACAAGTGCTGGCCAGCAGGACGAGAATGACCAAAACTCAGTCATCCACTCATCCAGCCATCCAGTCAGCCATCCAGTCAGCCAGTCACTCATCCTGTGATCCTGCTGTCCGGCATTTTGTTTGTGTGCTTCTCTCTGTCAGGGGAAAGGATGCGAAAGGAGCTTTGATTTTGCAGTCGGAGGATGTGGCACGCCCACTTTCCACCTCCACCTCCTCCACTCCACCTCCAACTATCCTCCTTTTGCATTAGGTAATTACTTCCCTGTGACGCTCGATGAAGTGCAAATTCATTAAGCTGATGCACTAGTCCACAGTTGCGGCTTGCGTTTTTACAATTAATCAATGTGCAGAGATGTTTGCACAATCGAATTAAATCGCTTCGGCTTTTTGTTGCTCGAATGTTGAATTTCGATTTTTCAGCATCAGATGTCACGGAATAATATGCGACATCAGGTGGAAGTGTCACTGCTAAACACATTTTCTTTTTGCCGGCACAAAGTCATGCATTTCCATCCGTGATCGAACGTTTATTATATTGAATTTGACCCGAATGTTATTAGACAAAAATGTGTTCGATTCTGTCTCTGGCACATTGTGCATTTTAATCTGCTGTGACCCATTTTGCCATTCGATTTCGTTTACATTTACAACTTTTGACACTAATTGAAGCTGGCTCTTGCGTATATGTGTTTAGGTTTTAAATATGAATGCAGCTGGGGGGTTGTTTGGTCAATTCTTAAATTACATTATTTTGTTTAAATTCCTCCTGAATGCAAGTATTGTTTCTACGGCATTTGGCAAAATAAATAGCAATGGAATGGCCAAATGTACTGACTTTGAATTGTGAATTGCGCAGTAATTTACTACTTGTTATTAAACAGGTGGCATGTTGCAGCTAAAACTCGGAAATAACCATCGACTCGGATGTCTATGCACTGCTCGAAAAATGTGGGGCACGTGGAGAATGAAGAACGAAATCGGCTCTTTGGGGCAGGCTGCATGGGATTATGACTGGCAAATGCAATTGGGGCTGGGGCTCCATCTCAAAGCAAAGGACTGGCCAGCTGCTAACGAAGCCGAATTTTAAGCATGCACTTGCTCCCTTTTGCCCCTTCAATCCCCTCTCCCCTTCCCTGCCGTCGGAGGCAAAGGAATAAAGTTGCTTATTGCATTGAAATGCAATTCCAACTTGCTACATCCACCAACTATATAGACTATATAGACTGCATAGTGCTTGGCCAGCGAATGCGAAATAAATTTCCGCCCAGCAGCGGCCAAAAGCACGAGAATTTCGCTCATAATTTCGTTGGTGGATCTTATAATAAATAATTTTTCACTAAAATTCCGGGACACAGACACAGACAGAAGATGGCCACTCAATAAAAAAAATAAATAAGGACATGAGCGGGCAAAAGAAAGCGCTCGAGCAGGAGCAAAATAACCAGAAGGAGCAGAAGGACCAAGGAACAAAGCTGCGCGTAATACAAATAAATGCGAGTGAGGCCAAAAAACAGGGCGGAGATGAAAAAAGAAGGCGGAATGTAGTAAGTGCATGCCAGCAACAGAAACACTCAAAGTTTATGAAAGGCGCGTCGCCGTCGCCGCCAAAGTTTCCCAAATATCCTGCAGGAAGTAGGGTATCCCGCTGTTGGGAGATGGTTTGCCATAGTAGGACATAAGAGCATCAGATGTCTTAAAAACGATTGGTAACTGGGGATGAGAGTTCTATTTGAATTATGTTTGTTATACCTAAATAATACACTTCCTTATAGCATGTTTGGTCTTTGTAACGATAGTGTATGTATGCAGGTTAAATTCCCAAATTTGTAGGGCAAAATCTGATACTGAAAAATTTGTAGGGTTTGACTTGTAATAGTTCGTTGTTCCCTACTATATTTTACCTTCAAAATGTTTTAATTGTTTCCAAAGGATATATTTTTAACAATCACTAATATAAGGTTGATATGTTTTGAAAATATTGCAAGAAAGTATAGGTACTTTATATCAAAACAATTATATCGATCATATAGATCTTTTATGTTCTTTGCTTAGTCAGTTTGTACCAATTAATAATCATAATAATATGAGTTCTCTGCTCTTTTATATGAGCCTATTTTAAAAATGTAGAAGTCTTCGATATTTGAAAAGAACTATGTCGCCTATTTTTATATGTATCCTAACAAGAACTCCCTGGAAGTAATACTTTGCCTGGTAACAAACACATTTTCCCGCTGAAAGAGCATCCGACCGTCGGTCATTGGAGGGTGGATCTGAATTTTTTTAGACCGCCGCCGACCGCCACGTAAGACAAAGTAGGGGTATATCTCAGGCAGGACCGTTCCTCCCGGTGCGTTTGTCCGTGTGTGTGAGTGAATGGGAGTGTGTGTGTGTGTGTGTGGCAGCCATGCTGTATCGCCAATTACTGTGTCTGTTTGAGCGTACAAAGCGTTTTATAAACCAACTCCGACTCCGACTCCGAACGGCGACCGCCTTGGTTTTCCGATGCCAGTCACGCTTGGACTTTGTCGGGCAACTTTTGCAGCCCTCGGCCGCCGTTTTCCCCCTACATCCCCCAACCCTCAACAACCAACCCCCACCCCCCGACTTTCCACAGGAGCTGTCGTTGCTCTTGAACTTTTTTCGCTTTTGATTTTATTGCCAATTGACCAAGTTTTTGGGTCGATTGCTTATGTTATCGCAAGGCAGGCGAAAGGAGGGCCAAGAAAGTTGCGGAGCTGCGGAGTCCGGTCACTTAAAATGCCAAGACAGCTGTCTCGGATGAGTATCTCGGCCTGGTATTTGTATCTGTATCTGTATCTGCACCCGGCCACCGGCCACCGGGTATCTGTATCCGTATCTGTATCTAGGCTGTCGGGCGAATCCCAAGACGGTGCAGCTTATTTAAAAAGATTTCAACTCACCTCAGCGGTCACGTGGCATCCACCGAGCTGCAAAAGAGGAAACAAAGCAGATGCCAGGGGTGAGTAATAATAATTATTTGATTTGTTTTTTCTTCGAATTTTTATTGGAGGAGTATAATATATCTGTTTTTATTGCGTTCTCGTCTGTTGGAAAAAGTCAATCTATCGACTGAAATGCCTAATGTTTAAAAACAAGTTTTCAGTAAATGAACTAAAGCTTAAATATAAATAAAACATGTATTAGAAATGTTGTTCTTATCATAATTTTGCATTTTAAAAGCACTATTCAATGCCTCAGAAGATATTGAACAAGAATTGATACAGATTTAAGTTTTGGCTGCAAGGGTTAGCCGCAGTTTCTTGTTTTTCAAGACTGTGTTTAAATTTACTATTATAATTTACAGCTTTTAGTTCAATTGCACTAGCTTGTTTGCACAGCAAAAAATCATTTAATGATAATCACTCAAAAAGAGAGCTTAATTTTTATTGCCCCGTCTTAAACACAATTTAACCAGAGAAATATATCCCTGGATACCAACAAGAAGTGGCGACCATCTGCTCACACCATTAATCTTGCAGTTGAAGGGGAAACTCGGGAAAAAGTTTGCCGGAATAAGCCGCAACTTCATAAAAACTTAAACAGCATATATAAAATCGCAGCCCCTAATGAATTTCTAAAGCCAGTGGCACATCTAGGCTACGGAAAGTCACTTGACTGACTGAATTTCAAGGCCGCAATAACTTATCACCCACGGAACCCATCTACTGATTGCAGGCAGATGCGGTCAATTCCACAGCGATGGCATTGGTAAGTGGATCCTTCTCGGGCAGCCACAACAATGCCCCTAATTATCGACTTAAGGGCATTACACTGGCTCTTAGCTTATTAGACGGCGAACCGCAGGCCAAACAGAGGGGGTCCGATATGCGAAATGTGCCCGGGGACCCAAAGCCGGAAGGGAGAACGGCCCTGGAATCTCAATCGGAATGGAAAGGGAAAGGGAAAGGGAAAGGGAAAGGGGAAGGGAGAAGGGAAAGGAAATAGGGAAGGGGAATCGGGCCTACAGGTGGAAATGGGGCAATCCGAGGAGCCACCCGTGAAGCTGCGGAGTCTGTGCGAACGACGCATAATAATAGTAATAACCATAATGATCAAATTTAGGGCTACATCTTAATACGAAAAAGGAAGGCGCCAAAACAAACGCCCAAAAAACGAGGCAATCACACTGGAAAAAAAACCGAGAGATTTAGCTCCGGAGGGGATAAGTACGACAGTAGGAAATAGCCAAAAAACTTTTCAGAAGTGTCCCCTTTACTATATTGCAAACTTCTAGCAGAAATTTTTATAATCCTTAAAAGGATGTATATAGGATGAGTAGCTATTTCTTAACCCTTTCATGCCCAAATTAATCTGGGGACACATAGAAAATATTTAACGCCATAAATGATTAATAGGAACCCCAAGTAACGTTCATATCGATTTTCGATACTCTAAGTCCTTTGGTATGTCCTTACTGCAATGTTGCCTTTAGGCCTTTGAAAAAATCCACATTTATAAAACAATTTTCAAGCCCAACTTTATACTTTTATCATAGTCTTACCTGTTTTAAAGATTTGTACGTACTTATTTTATTAGTATTTGTCACTAATTTTAGTTAATCGCACTATTTGCACGGACACTTTTTGGTAAAATTTTTCGGCAGCTGTGGTCGCTTCGAATCATAAGTGATAACTTAGCACACGCTGCAGCTGCATTCGCCAAAATTACCAAAAATTAAACAACATTAATAAGGGGAATCGCCTATAAAAAAAAATCCACAAAAATTTTGAATCGTAACCGATTTAAACTTCAAAAAGTTAATGTTGCCTGTAGGCAACAGTGGGCATGAAAGGGTTAACTAACAAACATTATTTAATTTTTTTTTTAAGGATTAGTTGTTCTGAACTGTGAAAAAATGTTGTCTTTGTTGCCTAGTTATATCGATTTTCAAAAGTTAAGAAATCTTGTAGACTTAAACATTAACCTGTTAACAAAATAAATTAAGAAGAACAATAAAAAAATTTTGGATCATTTTGAAGTACCTCACCAGCGACATATAAAACTTGACTTTACCCTTAAAAAAACAAAATTTGTTATGCCGATGCGTTTACATCTGATATCCGTTTTTGTTGACAATTACTTTTTTATAGTTTCAGTATTCGGGACACTCAGTAGGTAAGATTGAATAAGAAAATTTTAAAGAGTGTTGTTTGTGTGTTTACACAATAAATTTGATAACTACTCTCTTGGCACATCAAGAGGTGTTTTTGATACATTAAGTTTTTCAGGGAAGTATATATATATATTAATACGGCCAAAAACTATCTACAAAATCTATTCAAAGGGACGCATTAACGACCCCTAGTATATATCCAAAATGAGCTGAAATGCAATTCAAGAGAAACCACATTTTTTCTGAGTGCCGCCTAAATTTGTGCGCATAAAATAAATAATGGCAACATGTGTGTGTTTTGGTGCACGGTGCGCCTTCATAAATGCACGATTATTTGTAGTCTTTATTAGCTGGTCTGAAGGGGCGAAGCTTTAATGCCAGCTGCCGCCGGAAGAGCCGGGTGAAAAGCGGAAAAGCGGGAAAATGGAGTTCCAGCGGACGGAATCCGCGGAGCTGTTCAAATGGAATCGAGGTAATTCCGACACACTCGAGCTTTGTAATCATGTCAAGCGGTTGAGGCAACAACTCAAGTGGCCAAGGACTCAGACGGGAATAAGTAACAGGTAATACAAAGGAATTATTCTTGCTACCCCAAATAGGAGGTATTAAAGCTATAAACTGGTTCTAATGCCTTATAGGAGTGCAGTAATTAAAGTTGGTTTAAGGTAAAATCAACTAAACGTGGTTCATAGTCAAGATATTTATTTCCATTGCTTGCTTAAGCACATTGTATTATATCTCTTGAATTATCTATTAGTTTCTGATAGTTAGACCAAATGAGTATCTATTTGCACCTATTTAAGTCCAGTTTAATCACCTGTTGAGGCTTTTGTTGTTCGCCTGTTGGTTTTCCTCGGTTGCTACAAATTAGCCATTGATGTTGCCTTTTGTTTGCCGGATGTGCGCACACCTATGCAAATCTATAGGTCGTGTTTGTTGTGTGTTTTGTGTATGTTAGTGTTAGTGCGACAACGGAGTGTGCTTTCGGCCAAAATAAACACTGACAACCGCTCTGATTGGAAACGGCGTCAACGCAACCGAAAACAGAGAAAAACCATCGCGGAAATCAATTTGGTAGCAAGCTAAATAGAAATCCCAAATGTTATTGTCTTCCGAAAAATATTTTAAATTCTCTATGTGGCATTCCTGTCGTGCCTTTTTTTGAATTCCTGGCAAAAATGAAATTGATAAATAATTAGGCTTTTAAAAACAGATCTCACAAATGATTAGTGTATCAATTTATAACATTACACATTGTATAAATGGACGTTTGGACTTTTTGGTCAGGTTATAGACATGATGTGCTTGAACTTGTTTGACCGATCCTAATACCTAAATGGTTTCTTTTGTTCAATTTTGGTTAATTCTTTTATTACTTAAATAAAATCACCTCTCCACAAAACATTTGTAATATTAATAGGTATTAACTTTATTATTGTAATTAATTTACTAAAACGCAACTGGTTTTTGAAGTAAAAATACTAAAAAAGAATAACTGAAACATTTCTTTTAATTGCATGCTGTTTAATTTGTTGACTTAATATAAAAGGATGTGCTAACTACCTAATTACAGTACTCGCTTTCTGCATGGACGACAGTCTACAGCAAAAGCCAACTCGGCTAATTCATTTTCAGTGAAATCCGCTTCCCCTGTTACAGATGTAATGAAAACAAAAGATTGCCAAAATCCCTCCCAAAACTAATAATATTTTATGCGATTGGCACATGTTAATTACTCCGCTGACTTATTAATTGCACAATTCTATTTCAGATGCAAGTGTCGAGTTCCGCTGCCTGAGAGAAGATTTTCCTGGCACCGCTCACCTTTTCAGAGCTTCAGAAGCGGCTGACTCGAAATAGCCCCAAGCGCACTCGAAATTAAACATTTTGGCAGCGATGGAAACTTCCTGTGCGGAGTTCCATCGGCACTTGCCCCCTGTTCTCCTTTCTGGCCCAGTTCCCCAGCCAGTCTGCATATGCGTAATGCTCACAGAAACTCAACAGGAGTCTCCAAAAATGCGCTTATGTGCAGGAGCGCGAAACTTTATGGCGCTATATTTTCTCGAGCAGCAAGGACATCCATATGAACGGGTTCACTGGAAACAAGTGACGTGACTTTAGTTTGCTTGTAGTTTAATAAAGTGCAGAGGAAAAGCTAAAAACTTAAGAGTAAGCTAATCACATGCTAATTTTAACCTTATCAATGGAAATATCTAATTTTGATGAAGCCACCCAGTTTTTCATTTGATAAACACCTCCACTTTTTTGCGTGCATGCGTGCCAACAGTTTTTATCAGCGAAACAGGAGGAAACATTTGTCTGATCGTTTTTGCCAGGCCAAACTTTTCGCAAACTTTTAATACCGTTCTCCGTTTCGAGGGTACAACTCCTGGGCGGGGGGTTTCGGCACCCAGGCCAGCCAGTCACCCCTTCTTGGATGGAGTACCCCACTGAGTATGGAACGGCCTCATCCTGCAGAACTGCGATGATCGAGCACCGAAATGCTCGACGAAATTTCATTGAAAGCCGACGACACAACGCTGCTGGGAAAATTTTTGGCATTTTCCGTTTCGCGCACACCCTTTGAAAAATGGCCAAAAATAAGGTTGCGATGGGGAAGCTTGGGGAAGGGGGATTCGCGGGGATCCGGGTCGCTCTGCGACAATTAAACACTCGCACACAGAGACACAGATACTGATGCCACGCGGCGAAAAGGAAAACTCTGCCAGCATTCAGCAGCCAACTGGCAAATGGCGAATGGGGAATGGCGAATGGCAGCTGGAAAAGCAGGAAAAGGGGGAAAAAGGGAAAGGG